GCAACTGCTCCTCCTACTTCGACTACGAACAAATCAACGAAGACTTCTCCGGTCATCTTCTCGACGGCATCTTCACCACCGCCGACAAACAGTTGAGCACCGATCGTCTTATCCGGAAACTAACCGAGACTGTCATACCTCCTATGTTCGATTCCAAGCAGCAAAAGCAGCGGCTCGAACAAATCCTTTGGACAGCTTCGAACAGAAACTCCATAATAGAACCAAACTATTTCGATTGGTGCTTTATTTATCCAATCTTTCTCCGGCTATGGGATATTGTCGTTTATCTCAGACCCAAGGTGATACGGCCCATAGTAACCAAAGCCTCTACATTAGAGGTCGGCGCATTAGTCTAAGCTTTAACATCTACCGAAATCGGCACAAAAAATGAGTTTTGATTCTCACCGGAATACCCACGGAAAAACCTACCGAATTCATCGGATAAACTTGTCAAAATCTCATTGGTGGGCTGACCCATCTCTTTTGTCTACCTCATTTCTTTATCTCAGTTTCTCACGCTCAAATTCACTCTAAAATTAAATGGGGTGTATTCCATTTAAATTTTAGTGAATTTATTTGAACTTTAAAAAATTTATAGATTTCAATGGATTTATCATTTCTTTTATTTATAGTTTTCACCGTAGGTAGTATGTCCTCCTTAATCCTTGTCCTCAATTATTTACTAATCATGATCAAGAATTGTACAAGATAATTATCTTTCACAAAGAAACAAAAACTTCTATTTAAGAGATTAACCTAAATTGGACTGCACAAATGTAGTAACTAAACAAATGATTTTCGCTCGAGTTTGAACCACTCTATTGGAAATGATCAATGAAAATTCTAATGAGCTTCATCAAATTCATCCATTTAGTTATCTTTAAAATAAAATTACATATTGGCTGTTGGAATACATGACTATTGCGAGAATAAATGTGAAACTGAGTCGATGATGAATCCTCTTTCCGAAAATTAGATACGTTCCGGTAGTGTCTGTTGGGGTGCAAACCCAAGTTCCACATCAGAAGTTGCGAAGAAAATTCTACACCTTGTAAGTCTAAGTGAACTCCACTAGTATGAGGCCTTTTGAAGAATATACAAAAACAAATCTGTGCGGGCTTAGCCCAAAGCGGACAATATCATACTAGGAGTTGACCCAGTCCCAACTCTGGTATCAGAGCCCGGTTAGATGGTGAAGTGGACTGGGTGGGCATTGGGCATTGGTTGTGGTGGTGGACTCGCTCTCGATTGAGGTGGTCAGACAGCGGGTCCCTTTGAGATTATAATAAATCTATCCAACGGATAATATTTTATCCAAATAATATTGCGACTTAGGTCATATACCCGGGTTTAATTTGGGGTTGCACAATTTGGTTTGTCTCGAGATAGACAAATAGTCAAAAGATTAACCAAACCCCATACACAATAAATAAATAATATTTATTTATTTATTCCAAATTAATTATATTAATTTGGTACACCGGCCCGTCGCATTTTTACTAACAAAATAATCAATTACAAAATAACCGATTATCCAACATTCGCAATATTCAACAATTTGATTTTCTACTGGCTCAACGCATAACTCCATTATAGCATTGTTGAGCCTATGAAAAACAGCATAATCATAGTATGGAATCACCTAAATTTGATCATAATTTAATATGAAATTCACTACCTGAAAACCAACTATTATTTGATTGGTCCCCAATAAATAAAAAAATAAAATAAAAAGACATTAGAAAGCTATTTCACCAAACAAAATGAAGCCAATAAAGGAAAAGGAACAATAACTTGGCTTTTAGAAAGTGTTTTTACTTCTACTTCTAAAAAAATATTTTTATGTTTGTATTGATTTCTTTTTAAAAGTACAATCAGTTTTTAGATTTCAAAAATATTTTTTTAAAGCATCTGACGGGTGCTTGCAGTTTTACTATCTAAAACAATAATAATAACAAATTAAATAATAAGATAAAATAAAAATAAATTATTTATATAAAATTTAAATATAATTTTATTTTAATTATTAATTTATATATTTTATTTTAATTAAATTTATAATTTATAATTGAAAATATCAAATTTTAAAAATATAAATTTTAATTATATAGTAGATAATTTAATATTTTTAAATATAATTTATAAAATTAAAATAATTTGTAGAATATTATTATTTAAATTTAATTATATTTTTAATTTTTATATTTATAGAGAAAAATATACAAATATAGTTTATACATAAAATTCAATAAATATATTTTTAATTAGTTTAGATAATTTAAAAATTTTATATATAATTTATAAAATTATAAATAAATTCGAAAATTTTAATAAACAATATATTATTTATATTACTATGCACTATTTAGTAATTTTAACAGTTAAAAAACACTTTCAACTTTATTATATCCAAATATATTTTTTATAAAAAACTATTTTTATAATTATTCATCTAAACATAAAATCGAATTGGTTCTGCTTTTGGCTTCTACGTCTACTTTATTTTTAAGTCAATTCAAACGGTCTAAACTCTTTTGATAAAACCGCTTTTTTTAGGAAGGGATAGATATGAAATTTTCGGACAAAATAAAGGGTAAAGAAGACTTTTCAGGTGTACAACGGTACGCCTTCGTATATACTACTTATTAGGTTTGAAATATGATGAAATTAAGAACCAATTTCTTTCTTGCTACTGTGGCCGTGTTTCTTCAGCCCAAGTTTGGACAAATTCACTGTACAAACACTTTTGTATTTTATTATTTGGACTCAATAAAAATATTCCATCAAATATTATTTTTATATCAAATTCAAAACAAATTTTCTCAAACTCAATCAAAAGAAACACACCCTAATATAACCTTCAAGTTAAGCAAACTTTACTATGTAATCATTCATGCAACTCTTGCAAAAAGTCCTTCGTCAAGTTCTTTGTCATATCATAACTCCTCAATTGTTTAATTTCATCGGCGTCGGTGTCGGTGTCGGTGTCGGTGTCGGTGTCGGTGTCGGTGTCCCGTTGATTTGCTGGCAGCTGCTTGGAAAGATCCCTTGTATTTGAGGGGCTCGATTTGGATCGATGAGTTGTCATATCGGCCCAGCCGTTCTTTGGTGGCGTGTCGTCGAGCTTCTTGCGCTTCTCCTACTGGACTAATTGATGGGTGAAGTCATCGCTCTAACTAGAAAGTTATCATTTTCTACTGCTTGTGCTTGGTGCCCTAAAAAAATCGTTTATTATTTTCTCTTACAGAATATTAAATCAAAATATTATTTACGGCAAAATTCAAATAACCACCCCAATTATTTCAAGTCAAAACCAAACAAATCCTTGACATTTATGTTTTCTCAAGTATGTAATTATTGCTATTAATAATATGAAATGATTAAAATAAAATTTGCAATATTCATGAGATTTCTTATACAAATATACCGAGATATTGAATATCCAAAATTTAAATTAGTGAAACCAATGTTACAAATACAAATCAATAAAAGAAGAAGAATATAAAAATTTTGAACTTGATAATTTTCATTTTGTCGCTTCACTTATATATTTTCTTACATTTTGAAAAAAACTCCCAAATTTTTATGCTAAAACAATAGAAGCAAATCTAGTCTTTCAAATATTGTCAATTACTATAATTCTTCTTTAAAAATTATTATTCATACTAATTCATTCATGTACATTTTGATTATCAATGAATTTGATCTTCATTTCTAAAGTAAATATTTAATATGTTGTGACATATGATTTGTTATTATAATTATATTCTATAGAATTAAGTAAAGGTTTAAAAATCGACTTTCTCGAGAATGTATGGTGTTTTAGATATATATAATTGTTTTATTCACTTTTGCTAGTTGCGATTATATGTCCACCCTTCTCTGAGTAGACTACTACAAACTTTGTTTGATTTCCCGATTAGTCCGGAGCTTTTGTATAATCATTTTTGGGTATTAATATATTCTTTGATTTTGCCGATTAGAAAAATAAAAAAAAAATAAAAAAAAATTAAAAATTATGTGTAAATTTAATTACCTTGACAAAAGATTAAACTAAAAAAGTAATATTTCAATCTAGTAAATTTTTGAAGATTCCATTCGTTAACAATTTTTATTTTGTTCGATAGCTTGTGCCTTTGTTTCAGCAAGAGCTTTTATTTTATTTTTTCGATTTTTTTTTTTTGGCTCGTAGGCTCCGGGGGCTTCTATTTTTTGCTGACTCTTAAGCTCTAGAGGCTTCTTCCGGGGTGGAGAACATTCCCAACTAAGCATGCTTCTTTGCGATCGAGTTGCAGATCTCTAAGAAAAGCTTCTCCGACACTCTCATCCGAACCCCTTAAAGTGTTTCTCTTTCAAGTTCACTTCCAAGACAATTATGTGAGACTTTGAGCTTCATTTTATTGCACTGATCGGACATGAAGATTTTCTGCATCATTATACTAAAGTACCACTATAGGAAAAAAAAAATAATATAGCTATAAATTTGTTGATTTGCCATAAAAATTAATTAAAAAAATAAGTTAAATTGCACAAAATCTTCGTACTTTTAAAATTGCGTCAAACTCTCTCGTGGTTTCATAAATTTTACGTCGGCGGCTCTCCTTATTTAACATTGTTTGTTTAATCTGCAAGCGCCCAAAATGCAAATAAATAGTTATTTTTAAATCCTTGAAATTATAAATATGGTTATTCCAAATCCTTGATATGGTCATTATTCTTATTATTTAACCTCAATAAACAATAATTATACAAAAAAATAGTTATTTTTATCTGATTTTAAAAATTCTTTTTTATTATTCTTTAGAGCTAAATATAAGATAATAAGTATTCTGAAGTTCATTTGAAGTCTGACGCAAAATTTATGAAACTACTGGATAATTTAAAGCAATTTTAAAAGTATAGGAGATTTAGCAAAAAAATATTTATATATATTTATTCATAACTATATTAAATATACCAAAATTTGTTATGCATTTTTTTCATCAATAATGTTAAGCAAATTAGCCATAAATTAATTTTATACTAGTAAATTTGATTACTTCTATTCACAAATATATATACACAACCAAAAATAAATAAAGTCAGGGTGCTGCGTGCAGGAGACAGGCGGCGGATGGAGTTGCAGGCTGAAGACGACGGCGACAGACAGCAGTAGGCGGGAGGTCGGAAAGAGCCGCAACCGCCGCTGATAGTGCATCATCTCATCCTGCCGCCTCCGCTGCATCATCGACCGCCTCCGCCTCCGCCTCCTCCTCCGCTGCTGATGCATAATGATCCGCTGAACTATCCGCAGCAAACCCTCGGTGATCCGCTCCATAATCCGCAGCAGATGGTCATCGTTCCGCTCCATAATCCGCAGCAGATGGTCTTCGCTCCGCTGCTGATACTGCACTATCACTGGCGTTATCTGCTGCTCATGTTGCGTCGTCCTCGGAGGCGGCTGGTGGTAGTGCTGGTAGATCATTTGACAAAATCGATAACAAATAAAATAAGCTGCCACGAGCCATATGCATCCGATCCCAATAACAACAGCAACTTTGTACCATCCGTGTCCAAGTATAGTTCGACCTAATACACTAAAATAAGCAGTCCAGATGGTGCCAGTTGCCACGACCTTTAAAATCTCTGAAAAATAGCGATTATGGCACCGGTGCCGCAAAGGAACAAGCCAATTCCGAAAAGCAAGCCAATCAGAAACTGTAAATATATCATCAGCGTGACTATAGGCTTCGGGGCCACCAACAATGTAAATGCTATACCGATAGGGACAGTGGTACCGAACGTCAAGGAAGAAAGATAATTCCACATCTTCTCCGCTCCGCTGTGGAAGGAAGAAACAGAATTCCACAACAATAACATGCATACACAAAAAACACTACCAAACAATCCATTGAAAATTGCAAAGCCAATCGATTATTCACTCCAAACAAGTAATTAAAAACAATCTCGTACAAATTAACATAATCTAAGAGTCACGTACTTGATGTAAATCCGGTATTTTTCATTTTTTATATTATACTAAAAATCAATTTTTACATTTAAAATATCACATCAACACCTATTTATTTATATCGTATTAAACCATTCAAATTCAAATTTTCTACTATTCAAATCCCAATTCAAAATCCAAAACCCCCAAACAAACACACCCAAGTATAATTAATTCTATACATAATCAAATAAGGATGGTGGCCAATGAGATGATCTGTCTCAAAAATAAACTTTATCCCTCTATTTCCACACATATGATGTATATACATACACACGGTGTATATATGTACTATAGAGAGTGCTAATGGGACAAAGGATCGATGGTCGATCTTTAATACTTCTTCCCCACCCGTGATCAATCTACCTCAGGTTTTTCACCAACAGAGTTAGTTATTTTTTTCAAGATGATCATAAACATAAATTACTATTGCTGCAGTGAAAAACATCGTCACTTTTCTCCCCCAACCACATTCAACTCAACAAAAACATAAATTATAGCGAGAAAGTAAAAAAAATAAAAATTGAAAAACTACCTTGAGAGAACGAAACAAATAAGGATTTTTTATTTTTTGAAAATATATACTCTATATATATTAACCTGGTGGGTGAAGAAAAACGAATAAAAAAAAGAAAGAATCGGAGAAGCAGATAGAGGAAGAACCTGGCGGCTCGTGCCGGCGGTGGCGGTGGCGGCTGTGGATGCATAGTATTGTATAATGGATTGATAATTGATCAGGGAAAAAATATTTATTATTATATATAATATAATATAATAATAGTCTGAATGTTTTATATCCAATTTTGTTTCATATATAAAAATTATATAAGTTACTAAAAGATTATTTTTATAATCATATAAAATTGACGTTCAATAAATAATTTAATTAAATCTCAAAAAGATTCATATAAATCGATATATAAAATCAATCAAATCTGCATGATTTTCTGGATCTTTTAAATCCACCTAAATTCACAAATTTTTTAAGATTTTAAAAACATATATTAAAATTCCAAATGTACCCTTTAATTTTTTAAAATTTATACTATTCCTCAAAATATTAATTACTCCTTCGTCTTCAAACGGTTGGGGTGATATTTATTATTTAAATATTTTATAAAAAAATAATATATATTTTTTAAAAAAAACATAAATAAATATAAGCACATATGCAGCAACTGGAGTACACTACAAAAGCATAAATATAAGATATAGCATCAAAAGCATAAATATAAGTTCAATCAAAGAAGGGCACACTAAATACATAAATCTTGAAAAAAGCAAGAATCAAAGTTTTGATATATTCCAGATGCTCTGCTCTGCGCAAAAAGCAACCAAAAAACAAGAGGGAAGAGTGTTGGAAGGGAAGAGTGAATTTTCAGAGGAAAATCGACAGAGGCATGAGGCTGTCAAGGATAGCCATGCTACCATTAACCTCTTTACATAGCATAATGCATAATATGAACTGATAGTACGTGACAATAATTCATACAATATACATTATTTTAATTTTAAACATGTATTTACTTTTGTATGTCGATATTTGAATATTGATTATTACAAATTAAAAAAAAAAATTATAAAAATACTTTGCGTTTTTATAATACTAATAGAAATATATTTGTACAGAAAAAAAATTATACAAATACAATAACGCAAAAAGGTAAATGTGACCATTAGAGCGGACGGAGGGGGTATTATATATACTATTACTATACGCCGACTAACCCTAATCAACATGGTAACTAACTGCCCTACTATTTAAGCACAATATACAAAGACATTGTAGTCTAAGAGGCTTCTTCAATCCTGTCATGTAATAAGGGTACCTCATTGTCTGTTGATTCTACGTCGACTCCATTGACCTTGCTAATCTTGCTTTCTTCCGACTTTCCCCAAATGACTGCATAGAACCCGATAACAAGTACTGCTGCTCCGGCCACGCTGCAAGAAAGAGCCAAATAAAGTTGTCGATGCATGTAATGTTCAGACATCAACAGAACAAATGTTTTCATTCGACAATAATACCTTCCCAAATAGAGCACTTCGTTGAAGAAGAGGACGCCGATGACAACAGATATGACGATTGTTAAGGGATAAAAGAGGGACACATATAAAGGCCCCGTCCTCCACAGACACCACGACATCATGTAGAGTCTAAATGTTATATTGATCACTCCCTGCATTCGATGGCTCGTTCAATAAGAGATCCAACAATAACAATAGCATTCTTCAGAGACAAATTGATGCAACTATTTTAGCATAATATAGGCTATATTTACATACGTAATTTTGGAAGTATTAACACTATTCATACCAAGTAACTTTTACAAAAAAAAGATATCACATCAAATATTTATTTACCCTTACAAACATCGCATCTGATGCCCCCACTTTTTTAGTATTTTCAAAATTTTCCAAAACTCTAGAAACCTCTATCTACACGGAGCCATATATTTCAGCCACTTGTATAAATCTCTAGGAATTATGCCTAGCACATTCGATGAAGGCTATCTCCTTGTACAAGCAACGATTTATTCGGAAATTAAAGGGTGCAAAGCTATTCACATACATACTTTCGGAAGTTTTGCCACTATTAACAATAGCTTTTTCAAAAAGCGTGAACTTAGAAAAAAACCTATTTTATCTCACAAAATATTTCATCAAATATCTATTTTTTTTACTCCCTCCGTCGTTGAAACTTATGCCCATTTCACCGAGCATAAATTTTATGAAAATTGGTAAAAATTGAAATTATTTTCTTTTATTTTTACTAAATAAGGAAATGAAAATAATTTTTTTTACAACTACCGAAAAAAAAGTGAGCATAAATTTGAAAGATAGTAGGAGTACTATTTTTAAAATTTCTAAAATTCCCAAATTCTAAAAACATCTATCTAAACGGAATGCCTCAAACTATATAAATGCTTGTTTAAAATTTTAATGAGCTTAACCAAAGATGTAATACGGATTGTCATTTTTCTTGTCTTATAAAAATAAATGAATATCATCTAACTATTCCTCGAATCCATTACAACATTTTCCAATTGAGAACTTTTCTTCAATCCAACTTTAGTCAGAATTAGAAACCATTTACTTACTGCATAAACTACAGCTACCAAGCCCATGTGTGCTTGAAGTTTCCAAGCCATTGCATCCTTTTCTGCAATAAGAGCGACGGCCGTAGATTGCATAGTCACGAATAAACAGTAAAATGCCACAACAATCATCTCTGCTGGATATATCTTGAGTATTGAAGCCTGCAATTTTTTCGTGAAGGGTAAATCCATTCAAGTTTCATTCATCTTCATGATGCACAGCTTAGTGTAACCTTTCAAAAAACCGAACCTGAACAATAGACCATGCTGCAGTCGAAAGACCAGCAGTTGCAAGTAAAATGCCGCCTACGAACCAATTTTGTTGTGATGGTGAAATACTTTCAGGTGTGGTCAAAGTTACCATTTTATTCATAATTTCCGGCCCCTTGAAGAATGTTACGACAGATGCACCAGCAATAGACAGTATAGTTCCCAAGGACTTGGCTATATCACTCGATCTCCTCAAATTTAATACTTCCATCCTGTAGAGTCCAGTTTTTAATCAAATCAGAAATGCACACCATTTGTAAGCTGAGTTTGACATGCTGCTGTGATTTCCAAGAATCGAACCTGAAAATGATGGCGATAATGTAAGTAAATCCGGGAACAAGATTCAACAGCTCTGTAGCAAGTGTTGGAGAGCTCTTCTGTATGCCTGCATAGCTTCCAATGTCTGCTAAACAACTGGAATCACAAACTAAATCAGCTTGAGCAAATCATAAATCCTGGATATTGAAATACAAATTTCCTGGCAATTAGATTCACATAATTAGGATCAAAGTAATTCAGATAGAAGTCATCACTAACTTCAGCAAAAGTGATGCTTACAATTAGATTTTACCAAAAGAATTTGCAATTGTCAAAATAAATCCTTCGATGATAGTAATTCTGTAGAAAAATAGAGAAAAAAAACATCTATTTTAAGACAACTGAAGGTCCAAAAGGCATCAAAACTAACATTTACATCTCCCCGTGGAACTCTTCTCCAAATTTTTTTTTCTCCATCTATGATACAATTACTCAAACTATCACATTGTCACACATTTTAGAAGTCAGAGTAGAACGTTTCATTCCACAAGACATCTCTGATTCAATTTAAGATCCATCGAGCCACAATCTTCGATAATGTCGGCTGACTATAGGCGAAACAGAATTTTGAGTACAAATTCTAAGTCTCGTCTCTCTTTTTAGCACTAAAATTGATGAAAAAGAATGCTAACTATGGTTACAATTTGTTCCAACTTTTACAACAAAAACAGAAATGTACACAAACCAATGTAATTTCGATTCCAAAGACTGGTTAAACTTCGAAATGAGACTTTCCCATGGCCCAAAATAGTTTTTCTTGACCTCAAAACAACTAAGCAAGTACAAACACAATTGAAGCATTTCGTCGGAACAATAGCAGGATGATTGAAACGTGATGATTCATTAGCTTAAGCTCAAAATCTGCAAACCTCCATATCTAAAATCGCCATTTCCCGTCAACATATAATGCCAATTTGTGCAATAAATTACACAATTCATGAAGCTATTGAAATTAATACTAAAACTAAACCCCAACATCGAAGTGATTAAAACCTGCTTACACTGTACTGACCCAAAGAAAGCAAGCAAAAAAATCCGGCAGAGTACAGGGAAGGTCAACCGAGGACGCTTCGACCTGCTGCAAACAATTCAACCAGATTACGATAAATCTCAAAGCTAAGAAACTTTTTTATAGAATTGAATAGGAAACTGTGTAATAAACAGATCTAGAGATACCTGTGGAATAGAAAGCCACAAGGAAAAAGAATGAGGGTAGCCAAAGCATTGGAATAGACTGATAAAATGAAGAAACTAGTGCCGCTGGACATGGCGACTTTGCTCACAATCGTATTTACAGCTAAAGCCGTCACCGCCAACACCATGCCTACGAATGGAATTAGTGAGCACCCCCCTCCCATCTTCGGTTGATTTAGGGGGTCGATCGAATTGATTTGAATTTCGAGATCAAGGAGGAGTCTTCTCTTCAGCTTATGCTTATGTTCTTTGAATTTGTGGTAGGTTTCTTCCTTGGCCCGCCGGTGGGGCATTAACGTCAACGCGGGCGGAGATTCGTTTAAATATTCAAAAGCGGCCTACTAACATTTACTTATCATTGCCATGTACACCTTTTTATTTGTCACTTTTTTTTTTTATTAGAAAAAAATTACTCCCTCACTCTCAGATAATATATGCAAAAATTAGGTAAAAAATAATTATATAATAAAAATAATTATAAATTAAAATTAAAATAATGAAATAATTTAATTAAGATTTAAAAAATTATAAATTTTAAATTTTAAAATAGAGAAAAAATTTATCAATTTTGGTTTAGTTCTATTATAAACAATTTCAATCCATTTTGGTTCCATTATAAACAATTTCAATCAATTTTAGTCTCATTATAAACGATTTCAATTAATTTTGGTCTCACCGTTAAAAATTAACGAAAATTGCTGACGTGGATACAACGGAGGTGACGTGGCAACTGACCTGACCTGAAAATTTTACACGGCCATGTACATTTCTGTTTTACTCCAAAATTTTATTTTTTTGTTATATTTTTTAAATAAAATTATTTTGAATTTAAAATACTCTCTCCGTCTCATAACAAACTATCCATTTTTCCATTTTAATATGTCACGTAACAAAGTATCCATTTCTTTTTTAGTAACAGTATTATATATTACACAAATGTCATTACATTTATATCACACAATATTAATAAGGTTATTTTAGTAATTTTCACTTTATTTCCACTAAATCTCAATATAATACTAATATTTCTAAAATTCAGTGCGACATGCAAACGGTTACCTAGTTATGGGACGGAAGGAGTAGTTGATATAGTTAAAATGGACAAAATCAATAGTAATCATAATATAACTAAAATTTATTAATTTTAATTTAAATATAAAAATTTATAAGATATATTCTTTTAAAATATTTTTTCTAAAATTTTATTATTCATTAAAAATATTCCTCTTACAGTATTGAAATAATAAATTAAATTTTAATACTACTATAATATACAAAATTAAAAAATAGGTGTGTAATTGGTGTTTGTAAGAGAAATTTTTTTGATAAATGGTATAATTTTAGATAAAATCTTGTTAAAAAAACATACTCGATAATATTTATATTTGAACTACAATTGATACATTTTAATTATATCATGATTATTATTGAATTTTTTTTTCCATTTTAACTACATCAACTATTATAAATTCAAAACATTTTTTTTTAAAAAAAAATATAACAAAAAATAAAATTTTAGATCAAAACAGAAAGGTACACGACCATACATGGATGTGTAACAACATGGTCATGTATAATTATACATTGAAATATCCATGACCATGTAACAATATGGTCGTTTATAATTGTGCATGATCATGTAACAACATGGTCATGTATAATTATACACTGAAATATACATGGTCATGTAACAACATGACCGTGTATAATTGTACATGGTCGTGTAGTTTCCAGGTCAGCTACCCTGTTAGTTCCGTTATGTCTACGTCAGCAATTTCCATTAGTTTTTTAACGGTGGGATCAAAATTGATTGAAATTGTTTATAATTGGACTAAAATTGATTGAAATTGTTTATAATAGGAGTAAAATTGATGAGTTTATATTGAGACCAAAATTGATTTTTTCTCTTTAAAATATGATCAAAGTGTATAACAATTTTTTTAAAAAAAGAACAAAAATAGAAAATAGGAACAAATTAAAGGACAAATGATGTGAGAAGAAGTGAGTATATATTATAATATTATTTTAAAATTTTAAATTATAAATTTGTTAATTTTAATTAAATTAATTAGCTATATTAATTTTAATATAAAATTATTTATATTATACAAATAATTATTTTAATTAATAAATTCTTAATTATTTATTAAGGATGTGTTTGTTTGGAGGTTTGGATTTTGAGTTGGAATTTGAATAGTAAAAATTTTGAATTTGAATAATTATATGATGTGATATAAATAAGTGTTAGATGTAATATTTTGAATGTAAAATTAATTTTAAGAAGAATATAGGAAATAAAAAATAAATGTTTTATTTAATATTTTTTGGAAGAAAATTTTAAATGAATAATAAAATTTTACAAAATTTCTCAAACAAATATATCATAATTATATTTATTCTAAATATTTTTGTGAAAGACCTAGCCTAGCCGAAACAGAAAGAATAATACTCCATCCGTCCCTATACAACAATTATTTTTACCATTTTTTTTTCTATTTCAAAACAATAATCTCATTTTCATAAATAATCATATCACTATAAAACTACTCTTACTTTTTTATTATTATTACACGATTGCCACTACTTTTTACACTAATACACTCACAATGGTAAAAAAAAATCTTACCCATATTTTTTATCTACTACCAATATAATATAAATATTCCTTAAATCTCGTGTCAATTACGACGCGGACTATATTTTTTTACTAGGGTAAGTACAACAAATTGACTTTCTGGTAGACCATACTCCTGTGAGAATAGGGCCAGTGATGTGCTGCCACGTGGCAGTGCATTTTAATACTTCACAAATTTATTATCCTTATTTGAATAAATAATGATAAAATTTATAACTATTTTTCTACTTACTCACTATAATATTCTTAATTTATTTTTTTTAACTACTCTACATTTTCATTAAAATACTTTTATTTCTTAGTCTTTATATTCGAATAATATAACACAAAAAATCTGAACGAATTGAATAAAAAATAATGCATAATCTACTTGTTTATTTTATATTAAATAATATATATTTATTTTAGTTAATTTAAACGTTGCTGTCGAAAATTGACTTCATCAAAAATTGGTTTCATCATCTACTCAATATATTTATTTTGATAGATTTTAAAAAATGGTGAAATGCTTTCTTGCACTCCAAGTTACTAATATGTAAAATTGAATAAAGACTTACTCTTTTAGATAGAAAATTAATATATGTAATATGTGAAATTGATCAAAGCTTACTCTTTTTTGTAGAAAATTTATCAATATATACAATCTACTTAACTTGTCCACGTATATATACAATAAGCTAAGGAATATGAAAGGTTTAAATAAATAATGCTTTAGTAGATTTTTTTTTTTTTCGGCAAATTGGAGTAAAATCCCTCTGCACAATAATAGGTTGGAATTCAGTCTCTATTCAAATATATTTAGTTTGCACTTCTTACTTTACATAATTAATTTCATTCAACTTCATATTCTATCTTTCACCTCTCTATTTTACCCTTAACCTCTTCCCCAGTCTTCCTCGCATCAATTATTTTTTTTACGCAAAAATCTGAAATCAATCGTGACACTCGAACTCGGCACCTCTCTAAGACCCATTTTCTCTCTCCCTTTAGTTTTTTTATCACCGACCTCATTCTATTCTTTAGTCCAGTTTGCTCAATTATTGTTTCACGATGCGGTGAGCCATTGGAGGAAAAGTTTAATCAGACAGCCGTCCGCACGCAGACTTGCTCGCTATCCTAGTAGACGCCCTGATGCAACTCTGCGCTGTGGCCCGTCTGCCGACGCCTACTCATAGTCAACCAGCGCTCGCCGTACCACAACTTGCTTCCCTTCCGCGAGCGCTGCCGACGGCGACTGCCTCTGTCACGCTCAGGTCCGCCGGTTCCACCGATTGCATATTCACCATTTACTTTGCGTAATTTTCAGAAGTTTTCGTAATCAGTATTTATCAAAGGTTTTTATGATTGTATTTATTAATTTTTTTTTTTAAATTTTGGATTATGAATTGGTTGAAGTTTGACTAGAGCCTGTGCTTATTTTTGTTGAAATTATTGGTTATCTAAATCTAATTAGGACACAGGATTTCGGAATTTATGAATTTTCATTCTTTTTATGAATTATATTTGTTTAGAAAGTTGTAATTGAGCTACACAGTTTGTTCATCAGTTGGGAAATGATCGGTTGTTGTTTATATTTACGACTGGATATTGTTTATTCGCATATAATAATTTATTATTTTTAAACTGGTTATTGATACGAGGACTGTTATGAATACTACAAACAAGGTTTTTATTTTAAATTCTTACCTCACCACATTGTTATGCTTAACTCTAGTTAGAAGCACAATTTCATTCTTACAATTTTTCATAATTATTGTAGCTTAAACCATTATTCCTTTCAATTTCACCATTATTATGGTCTTTTATATCAAGCATGATTCATATTTGATATTGTTGTAAAAAGGATTTGACACACATTTAACTTTAACAAGAATACAAATGATCTTGTTGTGAAAGGATTTTGCACTCATCAACCCAATACCGATGCATGATGTGAATATAATTGTGTAATGAATTTTTTTTTGGAACATTTGATTTTAGTATTTTTTTCTAATAGTAAGATTTGTTGGTTTGGTAATATCATTGTAAATGATAAGGAAAAACGGTTGATTTATGTGTAGGATTTATCATTTATTATGGAGGAAGGAAAACAGTGAAATTATTTCGATGGAAAGGGAAGAAATCAGTTTCAAGCACAATCGATGAAATTGCAATGAGCGGGTATCGTAGAACTTTTATATTTGTAACTTTTGGTTTTGATATGATTTGAATCAATCATTTGTTGTCAATGTAGTTTCCATGTAAAGAAATAACATTATGAGTCTCAGTAGGTAAAACAGTCACAAAAATACAATTGTTGTAGCCGTCTCGGACACAAAAAAAGTTGTAAAGAGCGGAGATTGTAGACTTTGTAAAGGGGTAATTTTTAGTTTTGATAGAATGTTCCTTTTGATATGTAATTACTTTTTCCTTGTTGGATACAATATATTATTGTAGGTAAATATATAACACCAGAAGCGTGGTTGCATAGAACCGCATTTGTAATTTATATTACTGTGGTATATGAACATGACCGACAGGTTGTGAAAATGCTCTTTTATATGTGATACTATGATAACATAGGTTTTCGAAAACATAACAGAGGTACACGAATGACCGGTGAGTAAAGTTTTATTATTTGAGGGAGTATATACTTTGATGTC